GGTTATTATTGTTTTGTAATATGTTGCCCACAATGTTGGATAATAACACTAAAAATCAGAAAATTCTACGATATTTTCCAGCTTTCAAATAACTAAATCATTGCATACGTATAATATTCGCTAGATATTGACAGATTACTCATACACTATGCATTGCTTTCAATGAGTTCATATCGAAATACTAGCAGAAAATACACGATGAAAGTTTAAGTCTTTCAAGCGATATGGATCACTACTCGAACAACATACTTTCTTTCACGTTCAGAATTCGTTAGAACACAGTTTCTATTTATGTTTCTCAGGACGATGATTGCTTGATATAAGTGCATATCAATCATTCTTATCATTGAAGCCGTCTCGACCCTGACTGATTTCATCATATTCTGCTGTTGCTAATGCGCTAGTGTGTTCATGAAACCGCCTTCTGTTTAGTTTATCATCGCAGGCAATTGTTATAAGTTTTCAATAGGATGCAGAAGCAATATATCGTAATGAAGTGCCATCATTCATGAATACTTATTAGATTCTGAGTATAATGAGCATCTGTCAATGTGAAAATGTTCATATCTTTATTTACAAGCTTTAGGCGCAACTTGTGTTATTATCAATTGTACATTAAAAAACATTTTACAATAGAGAGTATATATAGTCAAGATTGGATTCAAAACCTAATGTGATTCATTAATCTTGTCTATGAGAATACTAATGCATTATATTACATTTCATTGAATACTCATTGTCAATTTCTATATATTGTTAATGTTTCTTTAATTTCTTCTCTTCTTTTGTTTAAGTATCATCTATTAGTTTATTTGTTGGTTCTGAAAATTTAAAATTATATTTAAATGTTCTTACATGTTAAACAATATTGGTTATCAGAAGATTTCTTTTTACATTATCTAGATTTTATTTTCTTCTTTTTTCAATATTTTTTCCAGTTGAATCAATGTAAGCCGCATCACAATCAGCACATTCTCTCTTATAAACTACTTCATCCTTTTTAATATTATTACTTTTGATCTTTTGATTTACTGTCCGTTGATTACATAAAGAACTTATTCCATTGAGTGTGTTTCTTGTATAAGAGTTTACTGTCCTGCCATTATACCAAAGAAGAAAAAGGAGTAGACATTGCAACGAGCAGTATATTGCCACAACAAAAAAGAAAAGAATTGTAATAAATATATTACTAAATAACAAAAAGAAAGATGGTGTGGGTGTAGGTATGAGTGTAAGTGCGGATGCGGGTGTTTCCACTAAAACCTATACCCACACCCTTCATGAGCGACGATTCTGTTAATGAATTTCTAAAGCAACAATATAATCTCTTTTGCACATTGTTGATTTGTTATTTGCAATTATGGAGATACATAAAAAATAAAGATCACTTTCGGATATATGTCTCTATAATGCATCACTGATCTACTGAATTAGTTAATATAACTGATCAAATAAATTTTACATGGTAAATATACAATAATGAAAATAAACAACAATACAACAAATACATAAAAAAAATAAACTAATTAAAGCTTCAACATCATTTTCAGCTTTAAAAATACAGTCTGCATTTAGAGATTTATAATCCGATTGTCAAAAAACCATATTAAAAAAAGATTTAAAATAAAAACTGTTCAAAAATACCTAAAATGTCTCATTTAGCTTGCTTTCGAAGCAAGATTCAAGAGCACTGGGTAATAATCACCTATTTATGTTACTCTTGAAAAAAACTAAAATCATGACTGTCGAACCCTAGACGTTAATGCTAATCGTAACATATGCTTCAATTTTTTGTCGACACAATGGGCATGATCTCAGCGAATGTCCACATGGAACACATGTGGTCAAATGACCGCATGGTAAGAAAGCTAATTGTCTTTCTCCCTCTGAACAGACAACGCAAGATTCAACTAATATTTGTCTTTGTTCAGGTATTTCTATAAAATAGAAAAGAAATTATGAAAGAAAGTTTTTAATAAAATAAAAACATACCTCGGTGTCTTTTTATTGCTTCTTCTGAGATTTGTTTCATTATTTCACATGGTATAATAATATTTTTCCCAAGCTCTATTTGGTTTTGCTGAATAAAACGAATAATTAATAAATCACGATAACAAACAGAAGGTTCATCTAAATAAACAAAAGATTAGTGAAGATAATAATCATTTAAACGATCACCATACGCTTTTCTTGTAATTTTCGTTGCCAACATCGTTCAATAATGGATAGAATACTTTTATTAGACATGAGTGATTGTCGACTATTTGGAGTTGTATTGGTATTTGTTATAACATCAGGATTTGCCTTTTCACTTAGTCTCTTCGAATTAATACGTACTAAAAAAAAATCAAATAAAAATTCTCTCGTATAAGAAGACAATATTTGAACTTACGTTGGTGTGCTCGATTAGCTTCTTGAATTTTATGATACAATTGTTCACCATATAATTGTTTACCATTTGCCCAATGTGGAAACCAACGATCATCTTCAATCTTTGAATTATCATCTGGATCCCAATGGTCTAATAAATCTTTGCAGCAAAATTTATTTACATCAAATTGATATTCTGTAGACGTGGTGTTTGTTTGAATCAGCTCGTCAATAGAAAGTGAATTATCAACAGGACACGTTGGAGCAGAAGCTGTTGATCTATGAACGGTGCTGTGACTTTGATTTTGTGCAGCTGGACGAGTAAATGTACTAAGTAAGAATGGATTGATATTATTTGGCGCATGAATAGGACTGTTTGCAATAGCTGCCATTGAACTAATATTGCCATTTACAATAGGTGGTGGTTCAGCAAGGCGTAATTTTTCTGTAACATATAAACATGTAGGAGAAAGTGTTTTATGTACTTCACTAGGATCGTCTACATTTGGTGTCCATTGTTCACATGTTAGATTACAATAAAGACATGTACTTCGATCACCACTATCACAACTAAAAAACCCAGCATCAGCCATACATCCACTTGATAGAGCTCCACGATGTGGCCATTGGCAAAAGGTATGTCTTCGACATTGTTGAAGTGAATCAGGTTCGAATAAATTATTTATTCGAGATTTTAAATCAATTTTTCGACGTGTAGGATGATTTTCTTGTTCATCTGATGTTGATGTATTTTGACCAGTACTTGTTGACGAGGAGGAAGATCCAAGTACAGATAATAATGATGATGGTTTCATAGAGCGGACGTATGGACAATGAGGACTTTCTTTAGAATGAATAGTAAATGGATTCATATCTGCTGTCCAATTGAATGCTTCAAGTCCACAATGTTCACAACGAGCTGTGTCTCTATCACCGATATATTGAAATCCGGCGGCAGACATCTTAATCACTGAATGAACACCTCGCTTTTCCGTCAATACTCTACATGTTGCTACAGTTCGGCGGACGTTATCGGGAAGTTTCAATGATTCCTTCTTTTTCATTTTATTAAATTTTGGTAAATTATCTATCAACTGATTTTTTTCCAAGAACTCGTGCAACATGATCATAGGAGACACCTGTTAACTACCAGTTAATAATTAAAAAGAAAATCTGAAAGAGTAAAATATATAATTATGTGTATAGTAAGATAAGTTCTATCGAATTTTTCTGATTATATAAACAAGTATTTATTAACTTGAAAATTCAGAAACAGAAACAAAATTTATTGGAATTGATTGTCGAAAATTTGATCTTTTTCGAAAGATATATATACTCATCCAAAAGAAAAACAAATGTATCACATAATAATATTTAATAAATTGCACAGTTTGTCAAAGACAGCAGTATAAAAAGAAAGAGAAAAAAGAGACAGGTAATACTTTTGTTAATAGAAACAATACACTCATCATGATGTGAAAAAACATCATAAATATTAAGAAAAAATAATTATTAACACATACTATATATGAAGTAGTAAAAAGATGCTGGAAGAAAATAAATAAAATAAGTCTTATGACATCGACAACCATTAACCTTGAACGACATGCGGCTGTCACTGCCAAATCGGTGATTGGACAAATAGCGAATTTATTTCAGTATTTATTTTTTTCTGAAATTAAAATAATTTATACTAAACTAATATTTTTGAATTTAAGCAGGAAAAGATATTGATACGGAAGATAATATTGAGTTTTTTTTTAATACCTTTAGATGCCGCTACTCCATAAGAATACCGAGTTAAGAAAAGTATGTCTTATAAAAATTTTTCTTTTGAATGCTTTGAAACTTTGTTATCCATTAAGTCGATAAATAATCAAAAAAAAATTAAGTTAAGTTATAAAACATTTAATAACTGGTCAAAAATATTACCATGCAGACAAAAGAACGTCTACTCAAATAATAAAAACTAACTATCATTTTAAGGAGATGATAAACCATCCTATCATAGTGAAGCAATTACTGTTGTTCAAAACTTCATCAAAATAAACGTCATTTTATTTTGATATTTCATATTTCAAAGAATAGAAAACCATTCCTCTCTCCCTCTTAAACGTAGAAAGAACCAAACGACACATGTACAGCTACATCTTCCAACAACACAGCTATAAATTCATAATTGGTAAAAAGAAAACAGAAAAATAGTAATAGATTCGAAGCAGAAGAACGAAGTTATCTTCGCCATCGATCATCATGCCTTCAATGTCGAGTAAATCTGCAATATACTAAGCAATAATATATTGTTTTTATGACCAATTATTTATCAAACATCGTTTATTTCTCTCCATCAGATATTTGTAATTTGTGTTTTTTTAACATTGTAAATGTCGATGGCACACCTTAACAATTCACCTGCATCAAGGACGTTACTGAGATCATCGAGAAACGATGTTGTTTGAAACTATCGAGAAATTTAATATATAATCGATCACTCTTGTGCTCTGGTCACTTGGTTTTTGAATGTCGTAATAGTTATTTTGGAACTAATAAGAGAGTGGCAAAAAATACTGTATTTCTTTATAAGATTTATTTTAAATAACGCCAAAAAGCAAATGATAGAAAGACACAACGATTGGTACAAATCAATAAATTTGAAAACTTTTCGTATATCTTATTATCTACTTGAAAACTCTCAAGAAAACTTATGCTTCAGTATCACAGATTGGGCGTGTACTTATCAATTGAGTACACGCATGACACGTGTTTCGATCTTGCTTAAGGATATCATCAGATGGCAATAAATCTATATGATATGGAGAAATAAATCATAAAAATTAAATTGATTCTGTTACATATAAACTCAAAAGAAAGTTTATAAGTAATGATAGGGTGTGTATGATTTAAGAGTAAATCACTCAAAAACTAGCAAGACGCGTTCCGATTATCACTGAAGTAAACACTTATCAATTGGATGTGAGTGTGGGTGTGAATGGCTATAACATTACTAACAACCACACCCACACCCTGCACAAAAAACAGATAGTAGACAGAGAACAAAGAATGAATGAGCCGATAAAAGAGATAATCACTGGTATTGTTGTCTGCAAACGTCACCATTAGCGCAAATATAAATATTACCAGAAGAGATAGAATAATATACGGTATGAGAGTAAAAACTATAACTGTCAAGCATGTTTCCATTTTTTTGGTTATACTATATTTGTACGCTTTTGAACAAATTACTACATTCAGATATTGTTGTTTATATGGTGGATCCTTCACTTATGTCAGCTAGTATCTGTGATATAAATATGGGATCTACTGACGATCTATAAGAAAGAAATCGAAAAAAAACGCTGTTACCTTACTTATGTCACATCCTGTATATATCTAATGAATCAATGTTACTTAATATATTTAGAACATGGCCTTTTGATCCAACTGTCATCGAAAATGTACCATTTGCATAGTGCATCTATTTCTTAATTTTAAACTGAATTCTTTGTAATATGTTTTTTTGCCTAAGTTAGAAACAAACATATCCCTTAAAATAGAAGTAAGCGAAAAACTCATGACATTCCATTGATCTAACAAAAAACAGTTCTGGTGGAACCGAAAATGTAAATTTCTAACTGCCAAAATTAAGTAGAACGAACAATGTGTTATTTATGTTCTTTTTTAACTTATGTATCGTATTACGCTCCTATATGAGATTAACAGTTAATTTGATGGCTTCAGTCATAGAAACACTTGGATATAAAGATTCCATATCGAAATTCATTATTGATTTATTGTTGTTAATTGGTGTTTGCTTCAAAGTCGTGGCGAACTCGTATTTACATGCAAAATATTTTTCAAATTATTTTATGTCATCGATCAATATACAATTTGTTTCAAACAATTGAATTGTTGACGCACGAATGTAAAACACTAGTACATATTTGGTAATACAATTTGTTAAATTTTTAAACAAATATGCGAGACTATGTGTGACTTTACCCTTACAAATAGTTGCATACAATATTCTTGTATGTTTATGCAAGATATATGACTCGCATGTAAACGTCAAATTGTTATTGGTGCCTATCTATGAGAGGACTAGAAAATTTTTGCTGAATTCTGTGTCAATGTAAAACTATATGTGTTTTTGAAAAACTATTACCAAAACAATTCTGCGTTGGGATTCAAATTTGTGCCATTCTTTGGTGTGCATGCTGATTTATGCATAGATATAGACTTTTTGCTCGGCATGAATTTTTTTTATTTCTCATTAAAATAAAATTGTTCTCATATATTCACGCTATATGGATTCCAAAGCTTTGTTCAATTTTTCGAATTCCCTTATAATTATCAGTCTTCATGAACATTCATATGTAGTAGTTATCAGATAAACATTATATCCTTTAGTTTTGATTGCATTTTATATGTAAGCAGATCATTGAATAGTGAACAAGTTCACATATAAAGCAAAGTATGTATATCTTAATCTTATCTTTGGAAAAAAAAACCTGCGTGTTCATGTATATCGATTACATGAGCTTCGTTTTTTGACTATTCTAAAATTGTCTTGCACGTACTACACGCGTGGACTCTCTACAAAATCTACAAAAGCATTCACATAATACAGCAATTGTTTTTTGAGTACAAATGAAAACGTTTTTAAAAAGTTGTGCATTCGCACATGGAATTCGAAGCTCTCATAAATGGCTTGTGCCCACATGTCAGTTTTTAAAGTCCTTTATCTGCACACGTTTTCGAAACATTTATGATGAATTGGGTACCGTACGACAACATGATGGCTACATTTGAAAGTTTCAATTTTCCTTTCTGTCATAGTTCATTGAAACTTCATAAAGAAATAGCTGCTATTTGGAAGCTATGCTCAAACAATGTCATTCCTTGTCTTGCTGTGTGATCAAATGATTAGCCTAAAGAATTGATGAACTTCAACATTGTTGTAGACAGAAGTCACTTGATGGCTGAAGTACTGCACGAAGTTTCTTTCGATTCGTAGAACGATTGTTCTTAGCATTCAATACTATACTATATATTAGATCGATTCGGCTAAGATTTGTTCTAAATCCAGAAGAATGAAATATAGAATGTCTTTGAAACATCACAATTGTGAAAAAGTAGGTAATGTTTTCAAAGTCATCTATCGTATTTTTGGAATCGACGAAACATTTTTTTAGAAGAAGTCAATTATGCAATTCTGTTGAGACTTGCATCGAGTATCTTTTGGAGAAACACTCAAATTTAAAAAGTATAAATTGAAATGACCTTGTAGCTTGAATAATATTGAAAGTTCTATTGATTCCTAACTATCGATTATTAATATCTTTTTTTCTCAAGTTAGTTGGCTACCAATATATAACTATTTCTTAGTCACACATGGTTTCCTTCTTACGGCTGTATTATATTCATAGAGAAGATGTCCTTTACAAATTGATACGATGACATCAGCATATAAAGATACTACAAGTCGATTGTTCAGCATACAATAAAAAAATCATATAAATGTATGAGAACACGCTAAAATATATTCATTGTTAGTTTTTCTTCGCCATGACTCTAGTTATTAGCTTTCTAATTGTCTATATTTAGCGATGACCATAGTTTGAATTACTTATGTTCATTTTTTTATTACTTCAAACTATTTTTGTTTATATTGTTTTCTCTAGTCAATCATATTTCATACAATAATTTTGTCAGATTATTTAGTGATTATTAGTAATTTTATGAATTATTATTTTGTTGAATTAAATAACGCAATTTAGTTAAATTAGTAGAATTATTAATAGTATAAATATTTATTATAAAGAAAGTTGTGTTTGTATTTTATTAAGAAATTCAAAATAGGGTTCATCATCGTTATCGCCCGCTAATAAATTATCTTCTGTATTTAATTTATTTTCTTGGAAAATAAATTTCATATATTCATCAATATTTGTCATATAATCTGACCGAACACGTATCTCGATATCATTTTGTTGTCCCGTTAGTTGATTAATATCTGTTTTCCAATTGAATAAACTTGCACCAGTACTTGATGCAAACGGATTTAATTCAATAACAATACATTCTAATTCATTCGATAATTTATTTTCAATTAGTCCTATATCAATAATATAACTGAAATATTTCTCTTTAAATGGATCTAGAAGTGGTTTGATTTTTTGTTGCCAATATTCAATAATTGTAGTTTTTATTTGTTGTATAGTTAAATTGTTTTGTAGTTGATAGAATTTACAATAATGATTGTATTGTGATATTGCAGTTAAATCCGATTGATAAACAAAACAACGAAATTCCATAGATGGATCCACGAAATTATTCCACTCACGAATTATTATATTTGTATTCCAATCGTGAAGTTTGATATTATTCATATTAGTAATATGATTATCAAGCACCTGTTGACAGTCAAGGGCTTCTAATAAATCAATAAAAATTCTTTCACTCGATAAAATGAGATTTAACGCCTCAAGTTCATTCGTAACTTTTAAACAATGAAATTGAGCATAACAGTAAGCAATCATTTGCATATTTGCTTTGCCCTCAATGGAATCATATTCATTTGGATATTTCACTTGTAACCTTTCTAATTCTTGATGATATAATTGAATTAATTTTTGTGAATTTAAAGGACTTCCATCTTTCGGACTTCGTGAACTTAAACGAATAAAAGTACCATTAATTTTAAATTGATTAGTTTTTGAATTGAATATTTGCTGATTTAATTGATGTTGTACTGATAGAATTAGTTGCAGATCATTGGAATTCAATAGTTTTTTCGAATTATAACGTGTTTGATAATAATTAACAAAAGCTTGAGCAATTGATGGAGAAATTGGAACGAATTCCGTATAAAATGTTTGACATTGCAAAATATTATACCAGGCTTCAACATCAAAATGAATATGTTCACATCGTTTTAATAATTTATGCTCATAATATTCTTTTGACACATTTAAAATATTGTGTTCATTAGTCTTAGCAACAGGCTTAGAATCATTGTTGACTTTATCTTTTTCTGTTGAACTTCCATTCTGCCCCATTATGGTTTCTACTGTAAGGATCTCGTTGACTATAATTTATTTCTAGCAGATGTGGCTACAATAGATATACGAAGAGAAAAAGATGTGTTTTTTTAACGAATCACATAAAAATATTAATGCATTACTTATTTTTTATATATCTTATTCATCAAAATGAATCATGTCTATTTGCACAACGGTGTCATGCTTTTTCTAGTGTTTTTTATTTATCTCAATCGTTAAATGATCATGGCGTTGTTTATGAATCGTATGACATAAACGAACTTATTTTTTCACATGATGACTTTACTTCAATAAAACAAATTAGTTGTCATATTAATATGAATAATATGTACTATTATTAGAATGATAAATATGCCTTTAAGCGTGTGGATCTACTTTTCAAAAGTAGATGTCGTTAATATGAATTATTTATCGCAGCTGTTTGAAAAAACCATCATCATAAGCTTTTCCTCCTCTGAGACCAAATTTCCAGATATTTTTTTTTGTAGCTAAACGTTATGTTATATGTAGCAATGAGAAATCAACGACTTTTTACTGCACCTTCGAGATATTTTACTGTTGTTCGTAAACTTTCTCTCCGATAATTTTTCGTCCGTCATATATTTTATGTGATACGCGATTATGATACTATAAGAGGTAACAAACATTAATTCCACATCAACCTACTTCCACCTCAGGAAAATGTTCACTTTTGCTCACAAATGATAATCAATTTTCTGAAGATGTCTTTTGATTGACAAGCATCAGCCCACTTGCAATAGTTATGATTATTCAATGGTTCTCAATGAAACAGATCAATTCCGATTTAGTGTTCGAGATCGTGTGGACGTAAGGTTTGAGGTTCATTTATCTTTCTATCAAGATATTTAAATTTTTCGAAGAAAATCTATACTTTAAAATTTCTTTTATAAATTCGAATGGATAGCATGGTGAAACGATATGCTACAAATCAATATTACTTTCATCTTTGAGATATTAATGAGTAAAATTAGATTGTTATCGAATTTGATCGGGTGTTTCGGAACTCGACTGATTTTCTTGTTAAGTACAATGACATTATTTGAAAATCTTTCTCCAAATGAAACATTTAGAATGAGACAAAGACCATCCGTAAATAAACGAAGCACAGTGCTATTGATATACGATGGGAGGAAGTGAATATGTATAATCGAAATAGTGTTGCTGCGAGCACAGAGACTGGTTGAGACTCTATCGCAATTGGAACAGTTCGATATTGTTCATTTGCATGATTTATATAGAAAGCTCTGTTTTTCAACGAATTTAATATACACTTAAGACCCTGAGAATGTGGGACAATATGCGGTTAGACTTTAGTGTAGGCTGTAGAGATATTATATTCACTTCATAGACATAATATCATATTTTCTCATATTCATGCCTACACCGCGATTGAATGGCAATAGTTTCAAACGAAAAGGGATTCGGCAATCGAGTACGTTCTCTATTTATTCTTCAATGAATAAAATAATTCTAGTTTGCAATCTTCTACTAGGAAAAAAATGAGTCTGTTTGTCTACAAATATGTTTTTGTTCTTAGATTATACTAGAATATGATTATGAATAATTTGTTCAAAACTTTGTCCAATATTGAGGAATAATGATATGAACAGAACATTTATTAAATTCGTCAATATTTCAGCTGTTTTTTTGGCAATAAAAGCTAGAATATCAAAATTGTTTGTTGCTTTGTTCAGATAGAATTTTCTCGATTCAGGAATTACTTGAAATTTATCTGTTCATGACAACGAGACTAAGAGTGTGGATTGATCTGACAGACAAAACATGATAATGTTTTGGGGATAACTATGTCAAGTTGAGAGCTTGGGAATGAAGTTGTAAAATAATGTGTACAGATATTGGGTTAATTTCGTAGACTTAAAAACATTCTTCCTCAAATGATTACTTTTGGTCTTAATCTTCAATCGTGAAGAATCAATTGCAATGTCTATTGGTTTAGTTACCTACAATGGGATAAAAAATGATTAATTGAAACAAATTCAATTTTTCTATGCATTTCTACTGAATATTGAAATATATAGATAAAATCAACTTAAGTTTTAATTTCGTAGATCCATGTATTTTGATAGACTTATGGTATAATATATTCACAGTAGGCTCTTTATATTTCGAGTTAGACCTCCATTTCTCTCTACCATATATTTCTCTTTGATTTCTTTTCGCAGATAAAAAATAAGTATAGTTATCATTATCGATAGTTGAAACAAGTTCAGTTTATCAGAATTCATTCGTATCGTACTTTTTTTGGTATGTAACTATTACAGTTTTGTTCTTTTTATCACTATTGAGGCATCAATTTTGATCACTGAGCTACGACACGAAAGTCAACTATCTAGAATAAAAACAAAAATTCGTCAATGCTTATCTATTGTGTGAGTATGTGTTAAACTATTTTGATTCTCTCCGTTAATATTTATTATACATTTGCCAATATTCAAAGTGGTATACTCGACTTGCAAATCAGACTGATGAACATTAAAACACAACACGTCCAAATATAAAACAAGGAAAATATGTGTAACTACTTTATAAACAAAAAAATATCGACACAACATCCACAAGAGTTCTTTTCTGTCATTTCTTAATCAATTGTACATGACATTCTGATGAATCAACAATTCCTATGAGAATTGCTGTTTTGGTCAGTTGCTCGACGTTGAATAGTATTTTGAGTTGGTTCAACAGTACCACGTGTATACACTGGGCCTATTCTTAGTGTATTTTTGATTTTCTTTCTAAGATGAGGTAGTGTTCCAGCACAAACAAATGGAAGTAGAAAGTTTATATAATAAGAGAAAAATTGTCCATAGGCTAATAAATATTCCAGATTACTATATGGAACACCACAATTAAATAAGATTCCTATGATAACACTAGGCAAATAGAATATATAAAATAATAATACAATTGATAGAAGTTGAATAGTCATTTTACGATGTTTACGCCAATTGAGTTGTTGATTTAGTCGATGCTTTTGTTTTATAAGACGAATAATAAGGATCATACTAAATATAGCTATAATTATTGCATTTGTTATTCCACCTGTAATGAACTCAAACATCGAATATGTTGTACTATCATAAGCACAGCTATAATATCCACAATATAATATTGTAGAAGAATTTTAACGATCACAAGAAATAAATAAATTAATAATAATGTAAAGAATGATTCCGTAGATAATAATTGTCATGATAGGTATATAATGTAATAGAATTTTTTTCTTTTTTGTAGACATCCAACTATCATGAAAAATAAGAATATATCGTTCTATTGAAGCCCATGCAACAAGTTTTGCTGTTGTTACATATGATGAACTATCAAGAAATTTCCAAGTTCTACAAAATAATGATGTTTTTATTAAAACAACACCATTTCGATAATAATAAAGAATCCATGATATATCGGTTATCTCAATTATAAAATTTATAATTAAAATAATAATAACAACATGATTATGTAAACTATGACGAAGTTTTCGACTAAAGAGAAAATAGTAAAGTACAAATATAGAACAAATAATTGATGCTATATTCGATATTAAATAAATCCAAAAACGTCCAATAAATGAAATTGAAATATTTGCCATAATTATTCACTTGATCATATAACAATATTAACTAGAAATTTACACAAAATGACAACATGAAAACTCATTCGATAGATTTTATTTAGATTGATTTGTATTAGAAAATCGAAAGTCAATAATTTTCTAACTCGGACTATACATATCGAATCCGATATTTTTATTCAACTGATGCATCCTTTACGTGTGTGAGAATGTCAAAAAAAAAACATTGATAATATTTATGAATCTCAATCATTGTATAGTGTATATCTCAATTTTGAGTTTGATATTATTACCTCGTCCATTTCATTCTGATCAAAGATAAACCAGAAATCTTACCAAAACACACTTGTATCGTTTTTATAATTTCCATGTAATAACAATTTATACTGATTTCCGACTATTGTGTTCATCGTATCGTTATCGAGGTGGTGTTTGGATATGCGAGCGTTTTCCACATGAGACAGAATATAAATAAATGATGAAATGTCAAGAGCCTATCATGTTGATAAAGATGAAAGAAAAAAGAGAGATCTGTGATCTTATGCACAAAAATAAAATGACGTAAATTTGTTATTTATTTTTAACTTGATATGCTGATTTTGTTGTTGTTCATGATCCTCATTTCATAACGTGATTGATGTAGGTTTTCAACTAAAATTCTTGAAAAAGGCATCATAGATCAAATGTTGTGAGCTCTTCGAAAATGAAGTTTGTATGTACTTAAATTGGTGACAAAAAAAAGTACAAACCACTAGACTAGATTACCAGCATATATTCATTCACAAAGAATTTTTTTAGCAATTAAAGAGTATGTATTTAGATGAAACAGAAAGAATATATAATTAGGATAAACTTTATTTAACTTCACTTGGGATAACAATAGTGAATGCGAATAAGACTCGATAAAAACGAAAAAAAAATCTAGAATACTTTATCAATGTTTTTTCGAATAGAGACCATCATTTCACTGACGTATTTCAATATGAATATTATACTATGATTTAAGAGAAATGATTCACAAATTTGAGTCGTCAAAACAGATTGTCTGTTAGTCAAGCGAAAATTCTTGATATAGAAATTCATCTTATTATATATGAAATGAGTTGACAGACGACATTTGTTATTAATCTCTCATCTCATGTGAATAGATCATTTTATTAACTGCTTGAATGAATTATAATATTCCACCTGCATGAATACTTTTTAGATGTTTCAACGATGAGACAACGGTAGTTGAGTGGAATATACTCAAGCGTTTTCATGATTGTTCTTGACACTTATAAACTGAACATTTTTCCGGCTGTTTATAGCTAAAGAGGAAAATCTCTCAACTGTTCAGTCGATATTAAGTTGAGATTCTGAACATCATGAGGTCGTTATGAGTTATGAATACCATGAGAAAGATTCGAGCCGCTGTTGAGATACTTCATTGGTATTGTATTGTTAAGCTCAATGCTATGCTATCTTTCAGAAACATGAAGAACAAATATTTTTTTTAAATTTCAGCCGAAGATTTTTCACACCCACAGGTCTCAATGATAATAGTTTGTTATGTAAATTTTAGATCATTTTGTTGCTTTTATTTCAAAAGAAAGACATCAGAACTTGTCGGTCGAAATGTGACATGTAAAAAAATCATGCTGATATCGAAGTCGATAGATTTAGCTAGAATCGACTTTACTGGTTAATCTTGGTTTCGTATTCAACTCTATCGTTTAATAGAGTTTTATAGAATTATAAATTTCTGAATTGTGTGCATGTCTTGTGAGAATGAACATTTATGTCTATTGTCATTCAAAGAAAAGTCTTAGAGATGTTTTTTTGAAGTTTTCAAATATCGAACTTATTTCATGAAGTGCAACATCTAAAAATAATGTTGAAGTATAAAACAAGCGACTTTAGTCACTGGATAGACTGTGAAAGATAGCTGCTAAAATATCTCGTTTTTCTTTCTACAGGTATTGTAACATAGTTTTTTTTATTGATAACACATATTGAAAGGACATAATGACTCACAAACCTCGACGCTTCATTGTTTTTCCCATTTTCACATCCAATGGATCCCAATAACACATTTTTTTTTTTGGAATTAAAATAAAAATATTGCAAAGCTTTTACCAAATAGTCAATGTGTAACACTAACGTTTTCATAACTTTTCACTCAAAAAGTACAAAGAAAACAATTAATATACTTATGGTTAACATTTACAAGTGTTTTTAGTTAAATTTCTGATTCAATCAAACAGAGTTAAAGAAGTTCGAAAGTATAGATGTAACGGTGAGTTTTTTTCGCCGATTCACCAATTTGAGTCTTTAACTGTTCTATGGACAATCTATATGAGTTGCTGAACATTAATAAATGATATTCACCAGTAAACACAGTTATTCATTAGTATATACTTGGATATCGGTGGATTATTCTTGAGTAGAAAGCAGTCGAAAAGTTTCATATACTTTCTAATTCATAAAAAGTCGAATGCTTTGAACAAGAAGATACTTGAATTTATTTTCATTACTTATCAGGTCAGTTAGAAAAACAAGAATATCAATATTTAAAAACTGTTAACTTATTTAATTCAGCTTTTTGTAATATTTATAATCAAATATTGTTGACTAGCGAACTCTTTAATGAATGTGTTGTACCTTTTTATTGGTGTTAATATATCTGTATTTAAATTGATTGACTAGATAAAAGAAAAATTCTTGAATAAAATAAATTGAATCTAGATCGTATTAAATGCCTCGAAACGTTGGAATAAAAGCATGTATTGATGGTGATATTAATGATTTAATAGAACGAATTCGACCATTGGCTGATGGTCCTCCACGTCGTTTTACTGAGAATGATACATTTTTTAATTGTCCATCTGATGGAAGACTTAAATTACGAATAGAA